TAAAATGTAGACAGCGCCCGCAGATTGGATGGTTAGATTAGATATGGAATGCTAATAACCAAAATAGAATATACCGGAACACGACATTTCTGTCTCGTTCCCAAGTGCGGGCTCGCTCAGGCACGTTTTGATTTTATACATGGTAAGTCCGTTGTTAGCTAACAGGTGCACATGCACCAATGACATTCAAGCCCGTTTTAAGTCAGTTTAGATGTAAGTATGCATATGCAAATTAGGTTTTGTAGAGCTGCACTAGCAGGGGCGTAGCCAGAAATTTTTTCCGGGGGGGGGGGGGGGGGGTCGGCTGCGTTAAACGTAATTGAACGGCTAACGTGAATGGAGTTCATGCACGGCCTCCGAAATGTGCGTCCAAAAGCAGATCTCTGGGGCAGCATTCGATGCGGTGAAACGCATTTAGTCTTTTTGAATCGTGTCAAGAGTTGTGAAAGCTTCATGACGTCAAAATGACGTTGCGGAAGAAAGACCGTAACAGGGGGCGTGCTCCCCACCGACCTGCAGCCAATCAGTGGAGGTCGAAGTGGCTTATCACACAGAAAAAGGAATGAGAGAAGAGGGCATGCCTAGCCGGTGCGCTACATTAAGTGCGGAAGAAACGACGTCATGGTGGTGGCGTTGCTATGGTTACGTGTTGTGCAGTGTAGTTGGTCTAGCAGCGAGCGGCGGCGGCATGTGTGCCTCCGTAGGTCTCGTACTGACGCGCGGCGGAGAATATGCGTGCTTTGTGCCTCGTTGTTGTCTACGCAGTGCTCTTCCCCGGTTATTGTACTAGTGGCAACGTTCACGAAAGCTGTTGTTTGCCACGGGGCCTCAACAGTGCATAGAACGAGGGCGTATATCCATGTACCGTGCTTAGCCGAGGCAACACGAAAAAACGGAATCACCACGAACTTCTAGCAGGTCAGTGAAGGTTGTACAGTGTTCCTGTTTGTGACAACAGACGAGACATTTGTGCTGAGGACGTCATGTGCACGTATGTAGTTCGGCGTTCGACATGGTTAACAGCTTGCACGTGCGCATTAAAACACCTTTTCACCTTCGCTTGCTATGCTCGTCCCTTCGGCATTAGAGCAACCGCGTTCGAGTGTCACTTTACCGTGCACAAGGTCACTGCGGTTGAACAATGCTGACGCCACTGAGTTTTACCTGGATGCGGGCACGGTGACCCGGCGCCACGTCGGCCGCGTGAGAGACTGAATGGAACCGTAAAAGGCGACGCCCGGCCGACCGTGTTACAGTGCGCCAACGTCAAAACACTGAAACCACACTCGCCGTTTGTCAGTGCATCTAGAGTGCGTGGCTCGTGAATTCTCTTGTGCTTGCGTCGTTGTCGACGAGCTGTTACTCGCTGCTAACACTGGAGAAAACGATTTCCCCAACGGCATCGCGCTGACCCAGTGTGTTGAACCCCGTTCTGTTGGTATCGGATCGCCACGCGCGTCGCGCTGCCCACGTGCTTTTTGAGCCGGAGTCGCGCCTTCTGCTTCACACTCGAATCTAAACAAGAGAGGATAATTTGCCCAGTCAATATGGCCGACTCTCGGCTTCAGAACGAGTGGCCTCTCCTCAGTTGTTTCCTTCATTCATGGTACAGTGTACCAGATTCATGGGATGATCCACTAGGTAGATGCTTCGAGAATCGCGCCCATAGTGGAGCGTGCTCACGCGGTGGTGCTTGCCTCGTCGTGTGGTGGCGCTGTTGTAGTATGGCGTATAATGGCGTAGAACACTGCGAGAAACCAGAGTGGGCTCACGTCGGAGGAAAAAAGAAAAAACAAGAACGATGAAGTGTCAACAAAAGCAACGCGTTAGAATCCAACATATTTGAGATTGCTATGATCAAGTTAATTCGGCAGTCTGGTCTACCATGGCACAATCGCACAGTGAAAACAGAATTTATTTGATATATTACCCAGTATTCTTTCTTTATATATTTAATCCTTCATCATTCAACATTGTTTAAATCATCTACTAAATTTAAAACTACGAAATCGTGGCCGATATCTCAGAGTGGGTGTGTGAAATATTTTGTGAGGTTCAAACAAACAAGCAAGCAAGCAAGCGAACAAACAAACAAACAAACAAACAAACAAACAAACAAACAAACAAACAGAAAAGCAACGCGAATATTACAGCCAGCGAAAGTGCGTCCCCGTAAACGCAGAGAATGCGTCGATTCAAATCTTAGTACCACTGCCACCGACTACATTTAACTGGATGCATACTCTACTTGCGCATGGCTGCGGGGTCTCACCCACGTGTTCTCTTGACTAGAATGAAGCTAATTCAACAATAAGAATCAAAACAGTCTCAAAAAGAATGTCACCATTCCTGCGTTCCTCCAGTAGACATGTGTCTAGACACGCGAATACAGTATCGCTGATGATTCCCCCCCCCCCCCCCCCCGGTATGAATGTTACTGCCATACGAACTTTTGTTAATTTTTACCTCGACGATTGGATGATAAGCGAACTCTCCAATACCGAGCAGAACCTCAGTCAGTAGGGCCACAGTGTAAATGATGTTTCATTCACATGAAAGGGCCAACTGATCGTCATTCACGTCATGAAAGGGACAGTAAAAGGCACGTGAGAAGGCCACAAAAGATCAGACCTATACCTAAGGTGCCCCATCGGAGGGGGGGGGATGAAAAACTATTTGTGAGAATGCCGAGAGCAATTTTTCAATTAAAAAGCAGCTATCAGATAATCAAATTTAGGACTTTTCTGTCTTTGAACCAACTCTACCAACGATATTTTGTTTTGATCATCACATATAATTCAATTAGGAATGACACTCTCCGGGAACCTAAATGCACACTGGCTAATAAGTGTTCTCCATTTTTATGATGCATTCACACAAAGCACCAAGAGATTCACATGAATCCCATAAGCGTTCTCGTCAGGTAAGTTCAATTACACAAACTACCGTTAAAATGATGGCAAGGACATAACTACTTAAGATACTGACCACCAGCCTCACTGAATGTGAGGTATATGTCGACACTGACCCATCGAAGCCTGCATGATGCATGGTGCACATGCAGCTTTGTTTATCAAGGGTGGATTTGTGGCAGTGTGTGTGCGACACATTCGCGTAATTAAATATGTTGACGGATAGAAAATGTAGGAAAATACTGATGAGTGCTATGCTCTCATCGGCCCCCTTTAACAGCAAAGCTGTACTTATTTATTTATACTTACTGCAGACCATCATGGGATATGGCAGGAGTGGCGGTAACATAACATGTCAATCGCAGACAAAAAATCTGTCATTGACAAAGCACGAACAAAAACCCAGGCAAAGTATTCCAACGCTCAATTGTTGCAGGAAAGTAGCTATATTTGCAGAAATCAGTTCTAGATTTAAACGGCAAAAGATGGCGTCATTCATCGGCAGATTCGGAGAGATCGACAAACTCTGCGCCGGAGCACTCTACTCTGGCGGAGGGCAACAGGAGGGAATCTACTGAACATACGCGCTTCCTCTGGAGCGAAAGGCAGGGTCACAACGGAACTCGATACATGCGTCTCTATTGATGCATGAGTGGGTATACGCTGTGCACAGTGACGCCACGCTAGCAAAACGTGAGCTCCTACGCGAGGCGCAACCGACGCGACTGGCCTTTATAGGCACGCGCAAAGTTAAAGGGACTGACTACCGTTCTTCTTTGCTCTCCTGTTTTGTGTCGCAATAAAAGCGTACCATGTGAAGTGTCTAACCTTGCAGCAGTTTCTCTGGAAAGTGCGTAGAAATTCTAAAAACAGAATGTTGCCGCCCCGCCTTATGGCTCCTTCCATCGGTGTGATGAATGCCCACAACACTGGTCAGTGCCGGTGAAAGTCGGAAATAGAGTGTACTAGAATAGGAACCTATTCTAGTACACTCTAGTCGAAAGGCAGCGTCTCCTGCGCTAGGGTGGCTAGAATGGGGGAGGTGTGATGAGCGGGGCGCCTTTCGCTTGGCGGAGAGGGTCCTTCGGCGCGCCGATGCCGCTAGGGGCGCTGATGGCAGCGGCGCGGGTAGTGAGCGGCGCACTTCGCTGGGTTTGCTCTGGACGGTTGTGCCCTCGCGATCTCCGACTTCAGCGTAGCTCCCGCCGACTGGTTCGCCCTCCGCGGTCTCCTGACGCCGTGTAGCTCTCGCATGTGGCACCCCGCCCTTGGACTGCTTCGACCGGATCCCCACTTTCCATATCTTCTTTTTCCTCTCGTTGGCTGTCTTCTTCTGCTTCTACTTTCCTTCTATCCTTTTTATCCCTCCTTCACCCCACCCCTATAAGGCACTGCGCCGTGTCGCCTGAAGGCAGACAGAAATTAGGTGCCTTTTTCCTCTTCATTGTAACCACTACCACCTTCAGTCGCGCCATAATTTTTTTCGTTAGCAGTCGCACTGTCTTACAAGTATGTCGTCGATCGGTGATTGCGTTGAGTCTCTCTGAAATGTCCGAAGATGTCAACGACAAAAAAGAAGACGCAACGTTGGTGCTTTGTGCCTGGCTGCAACACTGGATATTATAATTCTTCAGGAGAGAAAGTTTCCCTTTTCCGAGCTCCCACGTGTAGTGTGCTGTTCGACAAATGGATTCGTGCTATTCCAAGAGCGGACAAACAGCTTGACGAGAACTCCGCAGTGTGCGAGAAGCACTTCGACCCAAGGTATGTACAAAAAATAGAAGGCACGGTGTTCGCACACCGAGCAAGAGACCAATTTTGCTTACTTGCGTTCCACGTGTCACATGCTGCATTGCAACATAACCAATTGGCTGTCCTTTTCTCTTTTCTTTTTCACAGATTTGTCGTGCGTACGTTCAAACATAGGATTAATGGTGAAGATGTATACATGCCGCGCGCTGTGCCGACCTTAACAAATGACGCCGTGCCGACGATTTTTCCTAATTTGCCTAAATACTTGACGAAAGCTCTGCCCAAGGAGAGAAAGAGACGGAAAAGCGTGGCTGAAAGTGCTGTTTCGAGTAAAGAATTAGTGTGAACCACGACAATGTCGAAGAAGGCTCAGCGATTGACCATGACGTGATCGTTTCAGAACAGAACGTCATGTTGACCGAACAGCTGCATTCCTTAAGTGCTATGCTTCACCGTCCTAGCGAGTTGTGGTCGATGCAGAAGTTCGAGCAAACGAATGCATTATGCTACCAGACCGCTAAATTGGACAGAGATTTAACACCTCCTGTTATTCACAACAAGATAGTGTTGTTTGAAGCTGAGGAAGGAGCAGCTGCTCAGTGCAGCATCTTTCTGAACGGGTTCCTATTCAAAAAAAGTGGCTGTCAGACAGTGAGCCAAGCACAGGATCTTCTCAAGTATGCAGACACATTGACACCCTGCGTAGGAATTGGGACAATGGAAGAGTTCCAACCACTGAATTTGGAAAGCAAGGCGAAGCTATCTCAAAATCGTGTCTTCTCCCTTTCTTGCGATGGTTCCTCATCGATTTCGCTACAAGGTATTATGAGATATCGCAGTTGCGCAAACCCTGCCTAAAATATTTTATTTGAGCCTGTAGATACCTGTCCCTGCTTTGGTTAGACTTATCCACCGATTATGGTACACTTTACAGATGGCTCATCTGGACGTTGTACTGCCTGCAGAAAATGCAGAAACCTTCTGAAGGCTCGTCTGCTCCGTCTAAAAAAAAAAAGACTAAGCGGCCACTTGCAAGAACAGCTGCACAACGACTGAAATGGGCTGTTCGTACGTTGAAGAAAAAGAAAATGAAGCTGCTTACCTTGCAGGATGCCCTGAAGAAGATGCGAGAAAAGACTTCACAAATCATTGCATCTGTGTTAGAGGAAAAGGTACACTGTCCATTAAGTTGTTATAGATTCATTACTAATAGCTTCTTAATTATTTCAGCTGAAACTTCTTCAAAAAAGCAACGGGCTGCGGTGCAGGCTTGTTTTGACGCTGCCAAACGAAGGTCCTTGCGCGGATATAACTACAATAAAGAATGGCTCCTTGAGTGCATCATCCTCAGAATGAAAAGTGCACGACTGTATGAGCATCTTAGAGCACACAGAATTCTTGTCCTGCCAAGCCGTGCTTGCCTTCAAAAATACATCAAGGTATGTGATTGCATATGGTGTGCAGTATAGAGATGGTTCCTAATGTTTTTATCTACAGGGATTCGCTGCTGCTTATGGGTTTAATACCAAACTCCTGAGCTGTCTGAAGAAAAAAGTTAAAGACATGGATGAAATGGAGAGGCATGGGGGCATAGTAGTGGATGAAATGAAACTCTCTGCTCATCTGGACTTGCAGTCGTCCAGCAATATTGAAGGCTTTGTCGACCTCGGCAAGTTTACCGATGCCAATGAAAGACACCGCAAAGCTGACCATGGGCTTGTCATAATGTTCCAACCATTTGTGGGGAAATGGACACAAATCATTGGTAATATATTTTTTGCACTGTTAAGGCACATATGCCGAAGCGTTTTGTAATGCTCTATTTCTCTTCAGGTGTGTTTCATCCAGCGGGAACGTAAAAGCCAGGCTGTTGACAAAACTTTTGGTAGAAGCTACAATTTTGTGTGAGCAAGCCGGCCTCTACGTGGATTACATTTGCTGTGATGGTGCGCCCTGGAACAGATCTATGTGGAACATCCTGGGGATACGCGCCACCCTCAATGACATTCAGTGCAGAGTTGTTCATCCGTGCAACAAACACCGATTTTTGTACTTTATATCGGACTTCCCTCACCTCATGAAGTGCGTGAGAAACACAATGATGAAGCAGGGCTTCAACACCCACAACGGAAGGGCAAGTTGGCTCTAATATTTCTGTGGAATTTTTATGCATAATGCGTACTTCTCAATGCTAATTTGAATCCTTAACAGTTCCTGATGCAATGTGGAAATTTTACAGGCCCACTGGGATCATGTGTCAACCATGTGGAAACTTGACAGCAGTGCCATCACCTTGAAAGTGGCACCAAAGCTGACTCGATCACATATCTTTCCAAATGGATTCGAGAAAATGCGTGTGGACTTAACATTTCATGTTTTCAGTGCCCAAGTGACTCGGTGCTTAGATTTTTACAAAGATCAGATCGAGGAGCAATACACAAATGTTGAGCCAACAAGACTCGTTATTGGTCTCATGGCGGAACTAATCGAGGTGATGACATCCAGGTTTCCAGCAGAAGCTTTACGGTAAGAGTGAAATATTTACCCTGTCGATAATTAGTCCAGACAAAGTTTCTACGCTTCATACATAAACATTATTTCAGGCTTCACAGCCGAAAGGAAGCTGTGCTTGACCAGGCACTAAAGTTCCTCGATTTGTGGGAAGCTCACGCAAGAGGACTTGGCTTTCTAAGCAAAAGTACCGCAGTGGGTTTGCGTGTGACGTTGAAAAGTACGAAGCACCTCCTGGAGTACCTGTGTGAGGAAGTACATTTCAAGTATCTCATGACGGCTCGCCTAAGCCAAGACTGCCTTGAGCGCTGTTTCGGAATCGTGCGGCAGGCAGGTGGTGGCAATGATCACCCAACCCCTGCACAGTTTGTTGTTATCACGAGGTATTTTATTATCAAATTTTACGCCTTATGTTGCATGTCGTATAAACTTGTTACGCATCTGATTATGTTTGACTGCTGTTGTGAGTAAAATATGCATTGTTTATTTATAGATGCCTCAGCTTCTATAGCCTGGCAAAGAGTCCGAAGGGTGGCAATGTAGCTGACGGAGTGGTGGAATCTCTTCTCTCTCTGGAAGAAATGCTGCACGAGGTGGAAGATCACAACGAAGACAACGAAAGACTTTCATCTGACGTGCTAGAAGTGTCTGTAGATCATGCGTCATACACTGTTGAGCGAAGTGACGCCCGCCTTGTGTATTATGTCGCAGGTTATGTCGCAAGAAAGCGTGTACTTCGTAGTAATTGTGATGATTGCAAGAACGCCTGCCTTGCTTCTAAAGAAAATGTGCCAGGAAATCTCCCAGCCCAGGCAAGCAAGCTGTGGGATCTCGGAGGACTTTGTATCCGTCGAATTCCTTCTATAACCTGATATTATCCCTTGAGAACAAAATCACTCGCTTCTTGAGCACATCACGTCTTCATGCCAAATCGGCCGTTGAGATGATGAAGGGGATAGGCGAGACGCAACAAATTGGTTGCGCAAAGCATGCTGCTTTTTTGACGAAAAGTGTGGTGCGATTTTATTGCCTCACTCGTGTCCACTTTTTTTTGAAAGGGATGAACCAAAAGAAGACGAAAAGAAAGGGCGGAGAGTAAAGCCATGCGTACTCTAGTGGCAGTGCATGAATGGCATGCGTGGAAATAAAGTTGTGTTTTTGTGAAAAAGTGTCTGCTAAATTTATGCTGCTGGGAACAATTCTCAAGTCACACGCTTAGCGGTATAGGTAAATTTTTGGCGCTCTTAATGCGTGACTCATCTGAGTTAATGTATACATTAACTCAGATGAGTTTTAGCTGCCTATAGGCAGCTAAAACTGCTTCGTTTTTCTGCGGCGAGCAGCGCGCTGCGGCGAGCAGCGCGCGCTCATTCGTACATCGCCTGCGAAAGGCTACCCGCGCCGGTGCGTGCAGCGCCCCAAGCGGCATCGGCGCGCCTTGGGGACCGGTTTCTGCGGCCGCTTTTCACACCTCATATTCTAGCCACCCTACCTGCGCCGCGCGGCGCAGCAGCCATGCCCACACAGAAATGGCTCCTGTGCCAAATGGAAACGACGTCACTTTAAAAATTATTACCTAAAGCTATTTAAATGTATAAATTTTAGTGTATAATACGTTAGCCTACAAAAATGTTAATAAGCAGGTGTTTGACAAGTCAATTAGCCTATATTTGTTAATTAAACATATATTATAAGCATTTTAAAATACATAGGGCGCCATGGGCGCTGCGGCTGCGAAAGGTAAACAGTGTGAGATGGTAGCTGCCTGCAATGTGTGTTGGTGATGACAACAACGGCTCCTTATTGAAAACTCCGGCGAAATCGTGGCCTAGGCCGCCCTAAAGGAGGACCGGAGACGCCGTGTCGTCGCTGCTTCATGAAATTGCTGGGATGCCCAGTTGAACCTGGGGGTTGGAGCTAGCGCGGCCGTCCACCGCGCCGCAGCTTCATCTGAGTGTGTGCGCCATAAAGTTTCTCGCTATGTTCGCTTGTCGCTAAGGGCAAGGTCGAGGATGAAATAAATGCTTTTGCACAGTTCACGTGT